CATAAAAGAAAGGACTTCTTTATGTTAGTAAAGATGTTTTCAATTCTAAAACAACTGACAGAGCCTCAGATATTTGAGCCCTAGTGAGGACTGCTCCCTTGGTGGTGATGGTCCTGACGGTTGTCAACCCACTATTGATCGTGTGAATCGCTATATGACCCAAGGTACGAATAAAGTCGTGATCATTACTGTCACCAGGCCCAAGGTGTGGAACATCTGCAAGACATCCCCCCTAACCCCCCATCACGTGAGCTATTGAGATCGCCTGAGGCAAGGTGAGAGCGGGGGTTAAGATACCTGGGAAGGGATCTCAGGACTGCATTGTAGGTGGCTGACAGCTGATGTTGTAAAGCACCACCTCTGTTCAACAATGCTCGTTCGCAGTGGATGCAGATGACCTCTAAGTCTTGATCTGTCTTCTAGGTCCAAAATGAGAACATTGGCATCCTCTAAAAAGAGTCCTTTCTCCTTTAAATGCAAGGGTGCAGCTGAGTCTTGTACCGTTGAGGTGTGGAGTGGTTGTTTCATTCATAATCAGTGGACCTCATGTCTTAGTACAATTTCCTTACCCGCCTTTCATTTACGTATATCTACATATTACATTTCTAGATATCTACATATCTAAATCATCTACATATTACAGTACATGTCTGTCTGTACTATAATATAAATAATACAACTATAGTGCCCAGCTGGCACGCACCTCTTTAGAACTGTCTTTATGACGAAGTATGACGACAACCTCAGCCACCGCTGACGCTCCAGGGAAACCGCACGTTAATGTAGTCAGAGAGAAAACGACAGTTTGATATAGCACCCAGACTGTGTTTAGAGATATTCTGAGCAAAGATAAAATAACTCTGAAGGGAAACGCTTTACAATAACTAAACACTTCATAAATACACAGTAATGACTCCGATAGCAACGTGAAACGCGTGTGTAGGAGTGTGAAACAAAACAGGAGGAGCTCTTAGAATGTACATGTAGGTGTAGGTAAAGGCAATCAATCCAAAGATATTCACTGTGATTTGCAAACTGTAAATGAGTTTCAATATTAAGATGTAAGAGTAAAGTATTTTGGACAACCTCTAAAACACTGAGCCATATCGAATATTAATCAGCATGCCGATCTAAGACTAACAAATTGTTATTTTCATCACACTTTAATCTGCCAATTATTTTCCCACTGAACGAAAGGATCTCTAAAAGGCACCAAAAAAAGTGATGATCACATTTTCAATGTTTTTGTGCCTTTGTAACGTCTTTCTGCTTTGATTTTATGCTCCATATATGCCCTAAATCCCCACATTACAAGGAAACAATTCAAATCAATGGTTCCAAATCAACCAGCTCTATAACAACAGCATGAAGTAACAATATAGTGTTAATATTTGCAGGGAAATAAATTCAGAAAGGAGAAAGAAATGAAGCATCTTAACCCTTTTCATAACACGAGTTCAGGAATTATTTTAAAAAAAATACTACAAAGTGAGAAAATATAAACCTCTTTCTAGCGCATCATTAAGTATAGGGCAGTTCATTGAACCCGCTGTATCATAGGCAACACAAAGTCCCGCACTGCAAGCAACAGGAGGTATCCGCGTACCAGAACTGTTTATTTAGCCTTTTGTCTGTGGTATTACCCCAGCTTAGTGCCAGACAAGCAAACAGACGGTCGAGGGGGACTTGCATGCATGTGACACAAAGGATCATGGTAAACCAAACAAATAAACTTATAGTGGCGTCTTATCTCACTGTAGTCAAATGTCACATCCAGCCCTCTCCGCTCCTCGCTGAAGATATCCGTCCACTGCAAACCTCCCCCTATCCATTGCTCCACAATTCAATTGCTTAGCTTACACCCCCTCCTGCCCCGACAGCCCGGCATTCATCCATCTACCTCTGTGTTGGATAAGGAAGAAAAGAAATATAGATGTCATTTTTCAGCTTTAGCCTCCCCCACCGCCCATCCCACTCTAACTCGGTTTCAGATCAAACTTCTAGGCTTCCCCGCTTTTCTTCCACCTCTGCATACTTTACCTCCCCCCTTCCTCTAAATTAGTCATGATTAATGTGTGCGCCACGCATTGGGCCGTCTTAATTAAATAACACCATCTAATTAGGGACTGATTTCGGCTGGTAATGGTGCCGTAAGATGGCGAATGGGATTGCGCGGCGTGACAGAACATTCATGAAGCCCGTCAAACTCCCTGGGCGGTCACACTCCCCTGGTTTCGCACAAACAGCCCCCCCGCCTCCACCCTCCCCTAATCTGACAGTTACATTAAAATGCAAATAGCCCAGATGTGAGGGGTTCGGTAACAAGTGTAGATTACAGCTCCCAGGGAGCCACGGTGGATGAAGCCTTTTCCTGATGTGACATAAGCCAGGTAACAGGTTGATCGCTGTTGACCTACAAGTGGCTGTTTAAATATTGGCTAACATGCAGTTGGACGTGCAAGATTACACAGTCTGGAAACCTCTTTCAGCTGAGTGATAACAGCACTGATGAATCCATTGTACATGACTAATCATGACTAAATACTTGTCACCCAAAAAAAAAAGAAAAAGAAAATATGATATGCCATCTCTTATCAGCGAATGTTTGGCGTCCTGATGGCACAGTTTATCTTTTTATTTATTTATTTTTTCCTTGCAGATTTGTAACTGGATTTAATTAAATCAAGCTCAAGACCAACTGAAAGGTCAAAGAAAATTAAAGCATATTAATGAGCGCAGGGCATGGACAGCATACAGCATCAGGTCAGCGAGCCAACACCCCTCCACACATACACGCACATACTCAGACACCCAATTCAACGCACACACACACCCCTGCTAACTTGAGCGAGGTGCAAGACGTGAACAATATGGGGTGTGTGTGCGTGTGTGAGTGCGGGCCAAACCCCTGTCTGGCCACCAGAAAAGCATCCCCTGCAGTGCAGCAACATGGCAAGATGTCAAAGCTGGAAAACCCCGTGCCTGCTCATAGAGGTAATGATCCCTCACAGGAGCTGCTTCTTTCAGTATAAATAAATAAGGTAAAGCAGCGTTCATCCTCACAGGAGGGGCAGCTGCAGCCACAAAGGGATATTGTACTTTTCCTCTGGGCTGTGGCAAGAGAGAAAAAACTCCAACGGTCTCGCTGCAGGAGGAGGGAAGCGCTTTGAGGAGTGAAAGGAGGCGATGCAAATAGGGTTTTGGACACAGATCAAAAGACTTAAGTTTCACTGCATCATCAGAGCTGAAGCACTTCTCCCACTGCCCGCCACGCTTCTTCCCTCCCTCCCTCCGTCACCTTTTTTTCGCTCACGTTGCTGCATACATTGCTATCACAGCCCAGAGCCCGGTTTTCTGAGGGAGCGTCCTGGCGGAGTGTGAACATTGCTCTTACATGTCGGTCTTGAACAGAGATGTGAACACTAATGGTTTTTGGCAGGGCCCGGGTCCTTGGTGGACACACTGTTGGAGCCGAAAGAAAACAAGCGAGGGATAGAGGGACAGGAGGGGGGCGGGTGGGAGCAAGTGCAGAAAATAAATTAATTAATAAATAAAAAATGAAAGGAGAAAAAAAAACTGAGCAGGTGTCTTGGCAGCGGCGGCCTAACTCGCTTTACAACAGCACCATCTGTCTTCACCAGTAGAGCTTTACAGCCCCCCACTAACTGCTGTAACTCTCCACACATCCAAAGCAAACAGGGATGGGTTTTAGTGTAATTGCTTAATTGGCCGTTACAGCTGCCATTTTTACTTATCTATTTATTTTTCATACGTAGACAACTGATGAATTTGATGCATGAACAGATTGTGTAACTTGCACATGTTAAATGTAAATGATAAGTTACGCCTCTGGAAGCATCTGAACATGTCATTATTTCTCCCCCATCACTATTATCCAGATGTCATTTTAACACTGTTCTAAAATGCAGTGACAGAGTAAAAAACTAAAGCCCCGCCCCCCCCTCTATGATTCAAGACTGAAATGTTAAAATAAGGGTCATCTCTGTGACAGATGGACTCGGCAGAACTGCGAGGGGAACTTTTCCCTGAGCAAGCAGCATTCGACATCTCAGCAGACCCCCCTTCCCAGACCTCCTCTGGCTCTTTTGCTAGGCCGTCCACTTCCCGTCTCTCGGCCAGCGAGACACAGAACAAGATGGATGCCGGTGCCACAGTGCCGGCCGGCGTGACAGATGGGCCGATTATACAAACTCATCCCTCTGGCCATAGAAAAACACCACACCTTGCCTATAGCTAATAGCCTTCATCTGCCTGCACCTCATGGATAGCTCAAGCTCCTTGTTAATATGGAAAAGCAGTGCTGTATAGACACACAACAGCCCTGGCCTTCCCTTCGTGACAGCTTGTACCTGAAAAGACAGCTGCCACACTTTCTGTCTTTCTTTTAACAGGCCAAACAGATAAAATGGTAAATCACCTTGCTGCGACCTCATGTCTGGCTGGCTGGCCCGCTTCAAGGGCGTGTTTTCCTTCATCTAGATGGCCACATTGCAAATGCAATAAACTGATTTCTGTCACGGGCTTGATGTGTGGGTGTCTGAGCTCTGCTGTGATTTCTCAGCAGGAAAGCTGGTGCAGCAGTAGCTAAAAACATGAGACCCCAGACTGAGTGACACGGGGAAAAAAAACAAAAAAACAAAAAACAACATTTTGGTTTTAAGCCAGAGAGATGTCAAGAACACATTAAAAAAATAAATAAATAAAAGTCAAGATCGTGGGAGAATAAGTGCAGGTGCTAAAGGTGATCTTTCAGGATTAACCACCCTCCACTTTGTCTGCCCTCACCTGAGATTTAAAGTCAGGGCTGATTAATCAGACCGGTATCGAGTCTCTATTCAGGCAAGACGTTTAGATCAATCACACCAGCCAAAGGGGAGCATACAATGGCCCTAACAAATGGGAAGCACAGAATGAGGAGGTAAGGAGGGTGGGGGTAGGAAGGAGCAGAGAGAGAGAAAGAGAGAGATTGAACGTCTTACTTCATGCTCCCAGCCATCAGCAGGAAAAGGTTGTAGATGTGTGAGAAGATGAAGAGGAAGAGGATGGTGCTGAAGAACATGGTCATCCAGGAGCCATGATCCTCGCGGAACATTTTCAGACGCAGGTATCGACCTAAAGGGAGCACGACAAGGACACTGCCGTCAGTGGCGCTTCAAACAGCATGTCAACCTGCTAACACGTATGGCCGCGAAAATGGGGATAAAAGTAAATTAATTAGTCGGAGATCAATAATGTCCTCCACAGCCAGACACGTGCCCTTTACACAGTGGAATTAAGATTAAAGACCAGTTAGAGGCGTCACTTCTAGCGCCCTGAAGTAAGGGCCTTTTCCTGCCCGGTTTCAGGATGTCGTTATATCTGCTGACGATGCCAGCGATGGATGTCTGCTTGTGTTTCATGACGCTTATAGTTTAGAGAAATTATTCAGACATTTGTGACCCGTGGTGTTTTGTTTTAAATACAGTCCTGGCTTTGAATCAAATTATGGTGAAATACCTTTCTGGCAGAGTATAAGATTGATTCAGATACGCAGCCTTCTGCACAGAACACATAATCAAAGAAAGCTGGTGGCAGGACTCAACACAACTCTGAAGGTTATTTTGTACACTAGTAAAACTACAGCTATTTTGGCTTTTGTAATATGACTCCTGTTTAATATATTTACACCTTAAAGTCACACTTGGTGGTTAGAGTGGGATGAAAAGGCATTTATTTTGTAAGTAAGATGATGGGAAAATAGCAAGTGTGAAGCAAAGACACGCATAACTTAACTGCACAACACCTGTCAAAGTCCTCGAACTACAACCCAAAAGTGCTCACACAACAGAAGCAATCTGTTTTGCACATTTAGTGTGCTTCTTCCTACCACCTGGGTCAAATCGACTCTTTAACTAAATAAATGACACTTAAATATACTAGGAGATTCCCAAAAGATTTTACATTGCAGATTTATAAAATCGGAATAATCACAGAAGAAATTCATGAAAAGGATCATTTTGTTTGACTCTTGACGATCTCAATGAAGGTATTAGCAGGCTAGCTCGGGAGAGTGTGTCATCTTCTAATCGCAGCGCTGATGGCTTGAAGTGTCCTTGGAGAACGACACCTTACAAGGTGGCTTGCTGCCTTTAGCGTCTGAGTGAGAATGGAATAGATGAGTGAGAGGCCAATTACAAAGCACTTTGGATAAAAGTGCTAGGAAAATGCAAGCAATTTTGTTTTTGGCAGCTCTGCTTGAAACATCCATATAAATATTAGCTAATAGAGAGGACATACCTCCATGCCATTGCAATTAGCAGTATTGAAAATCTGATTTTCAATAATCAATTCCAACTGAAATGTGCTCATTAAGGGCTTTTTCCTGGCTCAGAATGGACAGGTTGGAGAGGGGGGGCGGTGACTGAGCACAAAAACACAATTAATCCCCACAAAGTTAAATACGTCAGTGTGTGTTGCCTTATTTGACAGAAAAGTAAACATATCCTGTTACTTCTGTCCCTTTCACTTACAATGCAAGTAAAATAAACCCAGTTAACAAATAACTGTATTACAATGCAGGTGATGTGAGAGATCCGTGAAGAATGTCTTTATTTAAAAAAAAAAAACTAAACAAAACACAGTTTAGCACACTGACTGAACATTGATTTTCTGTTACAAACAGTTAGACCACAGGCATATAAAACATGGATCCAGCTTTCAGGTCAATGCAAAAGTGCCTTACATCTGCACTTCATCTGCAGGCCACTAGATGGCGATACCTGTGGTTGCAAAAAGACTTGCAGTCCAATACAAGCCTCTGAGGAAACAGCTTTCTGACTTGAACTCTGTAAACGCTTTTATAATGAGTTCAGTGCTCAGTCACTAGTTTTTGGGTTACGCTGAATAAAAAATTAAGTCTATTTTATAAATCTGTCCCTGCTATGTTTCAAAGTGGAGGATTATCACTGGTGTGAAACCATCCTCTAAAAGCTAACAACTTGTGATTGTCATTAGCAAGTCACAAGCCACAAACCAACGATTGAGGTTTTCGATGTCAGACCTGCTCACATCCCATCACATAGATCTTTTTTGCAACCTAGATGGCGACTAGATGACGCTTCCGGGATTAAAAAAAATGGGACTTCAGAAACCAATGGGTGGCGTCACAGCAGCTGTGTCCATCTTTTACAGGGAGCCAAGTTGTGACATACCGATGACATTACTAGACCGTCATCTGATTAACTTTCTGAGCTCCACCCAAAGTTGCAGGAGCTCTTATACAACCAAACTACATGTAAGTAGCAGCTGCCATCACGAGGAAGCTGAATTAAATATTTAAAAAATTGTGAAGTGCCCCTTTAAATTAAACAGCAATTCCAAGAAAACTTCAAAGCATCTGACAGTCAGTGTCCCCAACCATCAGCTGCTTCAAGGTAACTCTGCTGAGTCTTAATTAAGGAATCCTGGATGAGTAAGCTTGGCTATAGTAGTCCATTTCCACTGTTTATAACAGTATGTGC